CGACTGTCTAGCGCAAAATGCATCAGACAATTCCAGACCTAACAGTACGTCAATAAATGCTTCGAGTTGTCAGTCTGATAATTGTACAAAGCACACCCTACTGTGAACCAAGAAGAGTGACGGGGTTGGATGTTGTCGGTGTAGTTCAGATGTACTAGCATAAATGTGATCGACTAAATGTACCGTCAGAGTAGTTTTTCTGAAGGCGAGCGGCAGAGTGCAATCCCAATTTCAGACGCAAAAGAAGTAGGCCACTGGGTGCTGTAGAGAACGCTCTTGGTGCAAGGGCATACCTTATGCGGACGTATGCGTCCAACCACACGAAAGGCAATTCAATCAGCGAGATACATGTGGGACAAGCGTCCTCAAATAACTTAAGAGGACGGGAAAATCTAAAGAGAGAACTTACGTGTGCCATTTCTCCTCAGATGGGTAAAGTAAGTAATCAAACAGTAGGGCATCAAAGAGAATGCGCACGCTTGAACAAAATTCCCCACACAAACGACGACTTCTGTCGGTCTTTTGATACGCAGACGCCGCCATTTTCGAGAATCGCTCTCTCTGGGTAGCTTAAAATCGTGCTCCAAAATTTCAAAAATCTTACCCGATGAAATCAGTCCGTTGTCGTCCTTAAAAACTGTTGGTGAGTCATTAATAGACAAGTTGTAAGGGAAATCGTTCAGGTAAGCCTGCAGTAGATCAAGCACAGAACACCAGGACTGGACAGGCAGATGCTTTCTAGGGTGAGTGTGAGCAGCCGTCTCAAAAGGGCGGCAATGGGCTTCTAATATTGACTTTAGAGAGTTAGTGAGCTTCGGGGTTGGGGCGAAGCTTGCATGAACCTGTAAAGTGAGGTGGTTATGCTGAAGTCCTACATCGACCGATTCAAAATTTAGCTGTGCCAGATCGTCAGCGTCAAGTTCACCTGGCCCGTAGGCACACGCAGCACCTGTGTCGCAGTCCGAAGTGTTCTTCATGTTTAAATGGGACGTGGTCGCCTAAGGAGATCAGACGAGTAAGTTGACTTACGTCCTGGACTGTTGAATTATATTTTGGGTCCTTCCATACACCAGGGACAGTATCCCAGTCAATATCTTCGCGAGCTTCAGCCGCGGCAGACAAAACGAGATCAATCCTCTGTTTCCGTTTTTCTTTGTCTTTTACCTATAAGAGTGAGTCGTGCGAGCAAGAAGCAAACGTTCGTAGCAAGTTCGTCAATCTTCCGTTTCAGCGTTCGGTTAAAGTCTGAGTTCTCTAACAGTAAATCTTCTGGAACTTCCCTGTCCCACTTCCGTTTCCAGCCTAGGAAATGCACAAAGTACTGTGGGATGTGCGTCCTGCCTCTCTGAGTATGGCCACAAAGCTGGGTCACCTGCAGCGTTTAGCACGAGCAATTTCGTCTAACCTCTGCAAAATAAATAAGTTTTGCCTTCAATGGATCTGGTTCAAAGCAAAGCAAACGACCACCCACTTCAAATCTGTGGGCGGGTTTGGGCATCGGGGTGAACGAAATCGGACTTCACTTACGACCTCGGTAGGTGTGGCTAGCTCCAATCGCGGCTCGCCTGAAAAGACCAACATGTCCGGCATACAGCCCGCGCACCAACACTTGTGAGTACGGGCAGTCTAAAAACCTAAATAAAGGGAAAAATCCAGCAAGCATATTACCTAGACAAATTAGAAGGCCACAGAGAGCATAATAAAGATATCCATGTAACAACGGTAACTTGGACTTAATATTCGCTATGAGCTTCAGTACCGGTGTATTCGGCATGACAGCGACTGACCTATCTCCTCTTACTTCCCTGGGCATAAACCTAATGTTAACTCCAGGCCCAACCGTGAATGTGCATTACTAAACACAAGATCTAACAACCGATTTAAAATCATAATTCGCTTCTTATATGGTCCGGACGAGATCCCAGCAAAGCTGCTCTTTGAGCTTGCCCAACAGCTGGCCAAGCCACTATCCTTTCTGTGCCAAAAATCGTTTGATGCTGGGATTCTTCCCACAGACTGGAAGACGGTCCACATTACACCCCTTTACAAAAGCGGTAGTCGTGCTCAGGCGACAAACTACAGACCCGTCAGTCTGACATCAATCTGCTGCAAAGTGATGGAGAGAACCATCAAAAAGGAGTTGATGGCTTACTTGGGAACCCACAACCTATTGGCCAATGTACAATATGGTTTCCGTAGGGGAAGATCTCGCGTTACGAACTTGCTATACACAATGCAAAGGTGGACACGAGCACTGGACGCAAAACACACCGTGCATGTTGCCTATATTGATTTCCGGAAGGCGTTTGACAGTGTTCCACACCAGCGTCTCCTACACAAGTTGAGAATTATGGGCATCGGTGGCAAACTTCTCAAATGGATCGAAAATTTCCTTGTTGGCCGCTCCCTAATTGTCTGCGTAGAACAACAGCAATCAAGGTGCACATTCATAGAGAGTGGGGTCCCACAAGGCTCGGTGCTCGGACCAACCCTCTTTCTCTTGTTCATCAATGATTGCGTAGATGGGTTGGACTGTGATTGCGTCATGTTTGCGGACGACATAAAAATTTGGAAAGTGATCCAGAATGCTGCCGATGAGACCAACTTCCAAGAAAATCTTTGTCGATTGGACGAGTGGTCCCGCAGATGGCTCTTGTCCTTCAATTTGAACAAATGCACCATTCTGCGCCTCGGAAATCAGACCCCTAGTACGCGGCAATACCATCTGAACGGAATGCTACTCCGAGAAGCAGAAACTCAGAAAGATCTCGGAGTTTGGGTTGCAGACAGCCTAAAGCCTTCTACACAATGCTTTAAGGCGGCCAAGGCCGCAACCTCAATGCTATATGCCATCAAGCGGGCATTCGTAGTTTTCGATAAAGACTGCTTCACCAAAGTCTTCGGCACGTTTATAAGGCCCCATCTCGAATATGCAATTCAGGCCTGGAGACCGTGGACGCATCAGGATTACGATCTGCTCAAAAGGGTGCAGAGACGAGCAACAAAATTAATAAGAGGTCAAAGTGCACTGCCATACGAGATCCGCTTAACTAACCTTCATCTCTATCCTCTGAGTTATAGGCAGTTGCGCGGAGACATGATACAAACTTTCCGTATCGTGCGCGGCTTGGATTGTGCCCTTCGGTGCGATGACTTTTTCCACCTCGCCACTACAACTCACCTCCGGGGACATCCCTTCAAGCTACGTGTGCCACAGGGTAGACTG